CATTTTCTCTGATCCAATAATTCTCATCACTTCTAGAATTTATCCTAAGGAAATGATTATCTCTACATACACAGACTTTTGCACAAAGATTCACTGCATCTTTAGTAAGAGTGAAAAACTCGAAATAAACTATCTGTCCAATAATAAAGGATGGGTTGTATAAACTAATATATCCAGATAACAGAATACCATCCAGAGATTTAAAACAGTTTTCTTAAGAAATGTTTAAGGTTGTGAGAAAATCCTTACAACAGATTAAGTGAAAAAGCAACTTAAAATGTTAACATAAATATACACAGTTAGGAAGGAAAGACTAGAAAGTACCTGGTGGGGTTATGGGTAAATGAAAATTTAATTATCTTCTTGATATTTTCCTTGATTTTTCAAATTTCCTCCCATAAACAAATTGTTTTTATAATCAGAAAAATGATTATTATTTCAAAGGCTTATCAGAAAATGTCATAAAGTGTTAAATAGAGGCAAAAACTCCTGGAGGACAGGAAGTCATTTAGGCTTTCAGGTATAAGGTCATGAAGACAAAAGTGGAGGCGGTCAAAGCAGGAATTCAGAGAAAACTTTTCTAAACGGGCACAGTCCAGTATGGTAAACACCAGTTATATGGATATTTAAACTTAAATTAATTAAATAAAATTTAAAATTCAGTTCCTTAGTCACACTTGCCATAGTCCATGTGCTCAATAGCCACAGGTGGTTAGTGGCTACCACATCATTGTTGTTAGCTGCTGTTGAGTTGGTCCCAGACTCATGGAGACCACATACACAATGGAATGAAACACTGCCTGGTCCTGTGCCATCCCCATGATTAGCTGGAGATCAGACCATTGTGATCCATAGGGTTTATCATTGGCTAATTTCAGTTGATCACCATATCTTTTTTCTAATCTTAGTCTGGAAGCTCCGCTGAAACCTGTTCAGTATCATAGCAACACGCAAGCCTCCACTGACAGAGGGGTGGTAACTGCACTTGAGGTGCATTGGTTCAGGAACTAAACCCAGGTCTCTCGTGTGGAAGGCGAGAATTCTACTACTGAACCACCAATGCCCCCATGCTACCATATTAGACACAGAGAATTACAGAACATTTCCATCATGGAAGAAAGTTCTATCATGGCAGAAAGTTCTATTGGACAGTGCTGCTCTAAATATTCTATCTAAGGCCTGGGAGATCCAGTTGTTGGCTCATCTCTTCAGCCTCATCTCTTGGTACACTTTTTTCCATCCCTCACACTCGAGCAACATTAGTATAAGCATCATAAGGACAGGGACCATATTTGTCTGGTTTTCCCAGTCCAAAAGGGGAGACATATTGTCCAGATAACTATACACAATGATATGTGGAATAACAGACACAAGCATAGATTGTTGATACAGCACAGAGCTTGGCCTGGAGTTGAGGGAAGGCTGCCTGGAGTTGAGGGAAGGCTGCCCAGAGGAGCAGGGGTACGAGTTAGCCAAAGAGTAAAGGAAAGAGCATTCTAAGCAGAGAAAAGAGCATGATATGAGTAAAGACGCAGATGAAACTGTACAGCATAAGGAAGGAATTACCACCTGGTCAGGCATTTTTTCAGTCAACAGAAAATAAATGTCTCTCATGGGCCAGGATCTGAGCCAGGCTCTGGGGACAGAACAGTGAGCAGGACAGTTATGGTCCCTGTCCTCTTCATGTTCCTCTCATCCAGTATTGCTGGAGCACCAACGGTGAGGCAAGGTATGCCGAGAGCTGAAGATGGAGCAATAAGGAATCAAGGGCCTCCCACCTCATATTAAGGATCCTGGTGTGTTTGTTACCTTGGCAATCGAACCCTCTTTTAGGCCTCACTGGGGAGCAAAGTCCCACTACCTCATCCTTCTCTTTGCCCCCACCCTAGTCCCCATCACTGCTGTGTATAGAAGAGAGCTCTTCAAGGGTTTTAGGCAGTGGAGGGGCACAGAGAGTTTTAGTAAGATCTTTCCAGAGGCCAGCTAGGATGTGGATTTAAAAGGTGTAAGAAAAAAGACAAGGAAGCTTGGTTGGGAGGCTGCTGGAGTCAACTAGGAGAGGATGGGAGGCTGAAAAAAATGGTAGGGCAGACTTGACGATGCTGAAGTAGGAGAATCCACTAAAAGTTAAGAAAATGCCCTCTGAAGGAATGAGTCTGGCCGAGCTGAGGGAGGGGCACCGAGCTCAGCAGCGGAAGGAGTGTCTGTGAGGCAAGGTTCCAAAAGAAGAGAACTGAAGATCTAAAGGAGGGCTCCACAGGCTAAAGGACGGTGCGAGTCGAAGAGGGGCACCGGCATCCCAAGCAGAGGAAAGACGTCCTCCAGGAAGAGATGCAAGAGGGGCTCTGCATGTTGCGAGGGCTGCATTGCTCCAGGAAAGGGCGGGGCCGGTGAGGCAGCAGGTGTGCAGTTACCGGAGGAGCGAGGGTGGGAGGAGGAGGCTAAAGCTGACCTCAGTCCTGGGGTCCTGCAGAATTAGCGAGAGGCTCCCGAGGAGAAGGAAGACCTCCGTTGGACTTTAGAGGGCTATTTCTCGACCTTGTCCTTGAGCATTTACAAGTGGCGGGCAGGGCACATTCTCAACAGCCTGGAATCCGCCTTAGAGCCACTGGGTTTGCGCAGGGCTGCCACAGGAACGACAGTTTGGGGGCGTCTCCTCGGGGTCTGGATTCCCAACACTCGCTCAGTTTTTCCGAGGCGTCCCCCCTCCCGCATCTCCCGCTCCGGCCGCTCGGCCCCAAACCCCCTCCAGCCCCTGGTCGATCAGCCCAGGCTCCTCGCCCAATTCCCTTCAGACCCTTCACAGACCTCTTACCACCACATGGCCTCGCCACCCTCCATCCCCTCAGACCGCCACCCCACCCTCGGCCGCACCATTCCCCGGCAGCGGTACCTGGGGCTCTCGAAGCTGCACCCCCTGCGGCGCAGCGCCGCCCTCTTCTGCCGCTGGAGAGCAGCGGCCGCCCGGGGCGCCCGCTCCATCGCCCCGGGCGGGGGCCGCAGGCTCGGGCGCACTCGAGTGGGCTCG